AGGGGAGGGGAAGAAAGGGGGAGGGAGGAATTTTACCACATTATCTCTGATCCTCAAATGTCCCTATGAAACAGCTATTTTAGAACCAGGGAAATACAGGCTCAAGGATAATAAATAGTTCGCCCAAGGTCACAGAGTTTGGAAGGGGCAGTGCGGGATGGAAACCAAAGTCTCTCTGATTCTGCACGTCCTTTCACAGGAGACTCTGACAGCAAAAAGGAAGAGCACTCATTTCACCCAGGTGAGGTTTATTCACAAGCCCTTAAGAAATGCCCACTGTGTCCACCCATTCATTCATGAGAACACAGACGCCTGGGACTGAACTCTTCAGGAACAGAAGATGAGACACCAAGGCACGAGACAGTTGGGAAATGACGCCGCCTGGGCAGCGTGCTCTGCGCTCACACCAGCCCCAGCCCAGACCCCCAGTATGAACCTGTGAGAAGGGGATGAGCCGAAACGGCAGGTGCCCCCCGTGACCGCCAGATGGCGGCTGTGGGCTACACAAACAGACTTTGTCCTCAGAGACCAGTAGGTCAAGCTGGGTCTTTTCTTCTCAAAGCAGGCGGCAGCCCCTGGCAAGAGAAATAGCTCAAGGGAAAGGAACAGAGTGAGTAAAAGTGACCAGGTGGCAGAGGACCTCAGAGGAATGCCAAATGGGAGCAGGGCAAGGTGGCGACAGCCAGGGGTGACTGCTCTGTACTCATTCCTTTGGCGTTGAAGGAGGGAGGCCCTGGCCCCACTCCCGGCACAAGTGCTCCATCCCAGGCTCAGAGGTGGCGCTAGTCCTTCCGCATGGTGTAGCCCTGGATCATGCTGTTGAAGTAGGCCGCTGTGTTGCGCTCCGGGTAGAAGAGGATCATGTAGCACTTGGGGCCGAAGTATCCCAAGCTGATGGCCAGGAAGTTGAGCACGGTGACCAAGAGGTCCATGATGGTGACGAGCACCCCGTTGTAGACAGACATGAAGGTGCAGAGGGAGACAGAGGAGGTGAAGGAGAAGGTCATGCTGAGCGTGATGAACTTGGCCTCGTTGTAGTTGTTGGGCAGTTCCTTGCCCAAGTAGGCAAAGATGAAACCCACCATGGAGAGGAACAGGTCCATGCTGGTGTTGAACAGCAGCCCGTTGCGATAGTTGGGGTGGCAGGAGAGGATCATGATGCTGGGGTCTTCGGGGTCAGTGTGGCCCATGGGGTTGATGGTGGTGGTCAGCATGTTGCTTGCTACGATGACCCCCTTGAGCGCCGTGATGAGCGCTACAAAGACGTAGGGCCCGTGGTAGCGGACCCAGAAGCCGTAGGTGCGTGGGAGGTGGCTGGCCATCTTGAAGATGCACACAATCTGGAAGGAGCGCACGGTGATACAGGAGATGCACACGGAGTAGCAGAGCGTGAAGAAGGCCTGGCGACCGATGCAGGTGAGGACCGTGGGCCGCCCCACGTATATGGGCACCATCCCGAATGCCAGAAGCAGAGGTATCAGCATGAGAAAGCACATGGGGCCCCCGGCCGAGCGGACCATGGGCGTGTGGAAGTGCCTCCAGAATATGATCAGGATGGCCAATGTGCTGAGGAAGCCCAGGGTGGCCAGCACGGCCACAAAGATGGTGGGCGCCTCGTGCCACTCGAGAAAGGCCAGCTTCCGCTTAAAGCAGGAGGTTTCCTTCCTGTTGGACCACGTGGATCCTGGGCAGGACTGGCACTCATATTCATCTGCAAAAGCCCACAGTGACTAGGGTCAGCTGGATCCAGTTTCCCAGCAGCTGCAACATCTAAGCCCAGCCCCGGGGCCAGAGAGAAGCTAAACACTCAGGTCCCAGCCAGCACTCACCAAGGGTCTCACACACATCTGCTCGTCAGATTCCCCCAGCAACCCATTCCATGGCGGGGGAAACGGCTTAGCTACATTAACTAATTTGCCTAAAGTCACCAAGCCAGGAAGTTATAGAGGCAGGATTTGAACCAGGTCTCCTGGACTCGGCCTACTGCATGTAAATTCTCCAAAGTCCTCATCTCTGGTGGGAGAGACATTGGACCACTGCTTCCAGGAGTCATTTAATAAACATTGTTTTGAGCACCATCCACTATGACAGGGACCTGAGGTGGAGGTCACAGAGAGATTCAGCCCCAGCCTCCAGCCTCCGGTCACCTATGGGAGGAAGGCAAGGAAAACCTGCCACAAACTCGCACTCAGCACCCGCTTTGCTTAGCACATATACACAAGTGCTTTGATCAGGAGGTGAAATCACCCACTGCACTTACTCACTGGTCAATGTGAAAGGGAAAATTGTCTTTGAAACTCGATTCTGAACTGCGCTAAGTACTAATGTGAACACAGAGATGATGCTGCCCCCATTTTCCTGGAGTTTATAGTGCATCAGGGGAAACCAAGAAAGTCACAGCATTGAGGAGGCTGAGATGGGGGGATTGCGAGCTCAAGGCCGGGCTGCACTATAGAGCAGGGGCCTGTCTCATAAACCAAAAGCAAAGGAAATAAAATCATTCCACCTGTATCCGCTGAGCGGCAATGCTATGCTCTGAACCATCTGAGGCATTGGAACGCCAGAGAGATGGATCAGGTACCATCCTTTCCTGCCAGGATCTTCCTGCTATTGGAGAGCCATTCATTGGTGCATTCATTCATTCATTCATTCATTCATCATCCAGTGGATGTTCTCTGGCCAGACACCCCCGGGCCCTGGGCTCTGGATTGTGCATGCAAGCTTGCTTGTGTGTGTGTGTGCACACGCACACATATGTGCACATGCACGCGCACACACTGGGGATCAGAGCCATTTGTGCCTTGGGAATGTGTTCTCCCTTTTCCCTCCCCCTTCCCTGCACCAGTCTGTCTGGAGGATTTTGCTCCAAACCAGATACTGAAGAGGCTAGAAGAGGAATCAGACGTGGCCCCTGGCCTTTGGACACTCTCCTCCTCTAGGAGACCAGGGGCAGGGCAGGATAGCATGGGGCGGGCAGGGGCGCGGGCCACGAGCTGCACCTGCGGTCTGGTTGAGGAAGGTGCCCGGCAAGCAGTCGATGCACTCGAAGCAGCAGGGGTGGATGCCCACGTTCTTCTTTTTCTGTCCCTGCTGGCAGTTTTTGGAGCACATGGACATGGGGACCTGGAGGGAGGAGGGAAAGAGGCCCTGAGCCCTCTTCCCCACACTCTGGGGATCCCCCTACTCTCCCCTATTAGCTCAGGGAGGCAAGCTTGACTGAGTAGGAGGGAAGGCTGCTGGAACCACCGTGAGAACTGTACGTCTTAGTTTCACCCACCCACCACCTAATCAATCTTCCCCCGGCAAACGCACGGAGACTTTCTGAGATCATCCAGAGGGGACAGGATGCAACCCCGGGGCTGTAACAGATATCTTGCCACAAAGAGATCAACAAAGGGGCCCAAGGAAAACTCTGAGTGACAGAGAGAGTGAGACCCTGGATGCATCCCTGCCTGAAGCCTCACCACATAGAGTGTTCAATTATATGAGCAACAAGTTAACTGTTTGTGACTGTGATTTCCTGCCATTTGCAGCCAAGATTCCTAATAAACACATCCCTGTTAGATTGCTGGGCAGGGTTTGCTCAGGTGAACAAGAGCAGGTGGGCAATGCCCAGGCCTGTTGTTTTTACTGCTGTGATTTGTAGAACCTAGAAGAACCCACCAGGGGGGAGGCCTCTGATCATGTATTGAATGAGTGAGCTACACTCAGATGAGATGGGATGAGCAGTAAGTAAAAGAGTAGAAAAAGAGGCAAGATCGGAAAGGCAGAGTGTCCCAGACATGGAGTAGGCAATCCTGAAGCACCGCCCTACAGGGTGAGGGAGTGTGTCCTGGAGATATCCGTTCTAGACAGAGGGAGAAGCACGTGCAAAGGCCCTGAGGGGACACAGACTTGGCACAGAAAGGCCAATGTGGCTGCAAAAGGATGATCAAGAGGAACACTGGCAGATCAATTCAAGGAGTAGGGCAAAAATGCTTTCATTTTTATTCTGCATGAGATAAGAAGACACTGGGGAATTCTGAAAAGAGGAGTGATAGGGTTTAACTTCATTTTAACAGGATTGCCCTGTTTGGTGTGTTGAGTCTGGGGGGCAAGGCAGAAGCAAGACACCGGGCAAGATGCTACTGCAGCAGTCCGGGTAAGCCGTGATCTGGTTCTGACCCATGAGATAACGGCAGAGAGGGTGAGAAGTGGTCAGCTTCTGGATGTGTTTTGGAGGCAGACTGGACAAGTTCCCTGCTGGACTGGATGAGAAAAAAAGCAAAGCAAAGCAAAGCAAAGCAAAGCAAAGCAAAGAAACAAGGAGAAGTCCAGCATTTTGCCTGTACAAAGGGAAGGATGGTATTGTTTTTACTGAAATAAGAAAACCTTGGGGGTCCACTTTTGGTAGGAGATAGAGATTTGACTTGAAGTTCAGAAATGCAGTCTCACCTGAAGAAATAAAACTATGAGTTGGGAACATAATTGATATGTCAAGCCATGCAGACAAAAGACAGTAAGTCCAATTTCCTAACCTTAGTGTCCTCTAGGGTTAGCGACTGAGGAGGTGCGAAGTAATCAGGAAAAGAAACACAGAAGAAGTAGTCAGGGATGTAGAAAAACAGAGAAAGAATGGCCCAAATGCAAGGAAATATATTGTGTCCAAAGAGAAGTGCCCAGCCGGACGGGGTGGCGCACGCCTGTAATCCCAGCACTCAGGAAGCTGAGGCAGGAGAACTGCTGTGAGTTCAAGGCCAGCCTGGGCTACATAATGAGCTCAAGGCCAGCCTGAACTATATAGTGAGATCCTATCTCAAAGAGAGAGAGAGAGGTGCCCAGCTGTGTCAAATGCTGTCCACAGGCTGACCTTTGGATAGCCAATACATAGACACAGATGCTTTTGACAAAACCAGTTTCTAAGGTGTGAACGAATGCTTCATTTCAGCGGCTTCAGGAGACACTCAGGTGGAGGGGCTCTAGTTTCCATTCTGACCTGTAAGGAGCTGGGAAATCACTCCATCACTCCAATCCTCACAGCAAGAAAAGAGCCGAACACACCACACAGCAGCAACCCTGATCCATCAGAGAATTGGGGTCACAGGGCAAAAGTGCAGCACCCCCAAGCTAGAACCCAGACAGCACCCAACTTCTGGAAGTTTAACATCCAGGAACTCCCTAAACACACACACACACACACACACACACACACACACACACACGCCAGATTTTCCGAAGACCAGAGAAACACCTCCTCCTGCTGCCGACAGGGAGAAGGGAGGAAGTAATCATTTTTAGTTTTAAAATGTGCCCAGAGTGCTCTGTTCGCTTTAACAAACATCTGCCCTCAAGGGAAGCTATTTCAGCAGAGCCCAACCCATGTAGATTTTCCCAGAGCTTAACTGACACAGGGAAAGGGACTCCCTAACCTCCAGCCTCTGCCACCCTTCCCGTGTCACCTAAGAGCAGAGGGAAGTAGGGGGCCGAGAAGCACTTGTGAAGCATACCACTCTGGAGCACAGGATCCAGGAAGTTCAGAAAACACCAAACAGGACAAATTCCCAAGTAAACTACACCTAGACATATCACATTCAAGCTACAAGTAACAAAGACAAAGATAAAATTCCCAAAGAAATCATAAGGGGAGAAACACCAGAAAAAAATGGTTACTAGAGGAAAAGAAAGATATTTTGTAATGATAAAGGCTCATCCCATCAAGAGGATATAATAATTATATGTAATAAACACATATGTCCCTAATAAGAGAACCCATAAATTCATAAAGCAAAAAGATCAGAATTGAAGGAAGAAAGAGATCATCTACCAAATAATATTTAATAGTAATAAGTGGAAACATCAATATGCTACTTTCAATAAGGCATGGAACTAAATATGAATGAAATAGAAGAAGTGGGCATCACTATAAACCCACACGGAGGGACTCTCATGACCAACTGACAGAGAAGGTGAACGTTCAGCAATGATCCGCAAGCAGAGCTGCTGGGCACATTAATATGAGTAGACAAGTAACAGCTCCTACCCTAAGCACTCATAGGCAGGGCTTTCAGAAGGCGATTGGATCATGGGGCAGTGGATTCATCAGTGGATTCATGAATTGATGAGTTCAGCGGCTGAGTGTGCTATTAACAGGTAAGGCCTGCTCAGAAGAGGCAAGTCACTGGAGATGTGACATGGAACGGTACCTTCCCTCGCCGGCTCCTTCCTTCTCTCTGCTTCCTGACCACCACGGTGTGAGCCGCTTTCTTCCGCCCATACCCTTCCACTGTGCCATTTTCTGCATTTGAGCCTCCCAAATGCGAGCTGAAATTTCTGAAACCGTGAGCCAGACTGTCTCCTCCTTTAAGTTGTAGGTATCAAGTATTTTGTCACAGCGACAGTGAAAGTGATTAACACAGGGCATGGGCCCAAGAGCCTGAGCTTCCTGTCACAGTCCACCTAGCTACTGCCAAACACCAAAGCTTCCAGCTACAGATGCATCTGGGAGCCCCTGATTGGGCTCTGTTGCTCAAGAGCTTCAGGCACCCACTGCTGGTAGACCCAGTGGCCACAGCCTTTCCTCTTCATCCCCAGGAGGATTTGCTTCCCTGACGTCAGCAGAGCATCACTACCCAAGTGCCCACCAAGGACTCCCTGAGCTGGGACTCCATCTCACCTCAGACAAGGGTCGTATTTCCTGATGACACACGGGTGACCCAAGCACACAGCTACAGGACCTGCTGAGCCTAAAATCACTCACAACATCCCGCCTAATAAAATGACAGGACGGCATACTGAACACTGGCCTGGGGGCCACCACAGGGAAGGTGCCCCATGGAGTGGGACACTGCCCGAGGGCCCGAGGTACATACCCTGAACAAATGGCTGATGTGCCCATGGAGGCACTGACCGCTGGAACAGCAGGGGGAAGAAAGACTGGCCACACTCCCCATTTTTCTTGGAGACCCACTATAGAATTGGTACTTTGTCTCACTGAAGTGTTAAACAGGGGGAAGCAAAATTCTGCTCCCCACAGTGGGCCTACTTCCACCAGCAGACACCACAGGTTCTGAGGTCACCCCTGCTCATCCTGGGATCCCCACGCCAGTGAATGAGAAGACCAGAAAGGGGGCAGTCAATGAACCGGACCCAAGCAAGGGGCTGGGTAGGAAGGGCATTTGGGAGCCCCGCAACCCACCAGAGGTCCTTGGTGCTTCTGTCCTGGTGGTAACTGCTACCTCACCTCGGGGCTGTGGCCAGCAAAGGTGAGCCAGCCAAGGGCCCGGACACCTGGGGGATGAAGGTCTCCATCACCCCACACTGTGCAAGCGCCGCACAGCGGCCAAATGCTGGCTTGGGAGAAGGAATCCAGAATGAACAGCCAAAGGGGCAGAGGACAACTATCGTTACAACATGGTACCACCAAACTCCCTCTTGTAAGCCTGAGCTGGCTCACAAGGCCCAGGAAGGGTCCAGTGTAAGGCTTGGCAGGAGGTACGGACAGCTCAGTGGTCTGACTCCCACCTTCTCTGCCCACTGCTCACCCCTGTCATTGCTGCAGACACCAGTTTCCCGCAGCTGTCACCTGTCGGACCTCACCTCAGCCATGATGCCATGTGTCTCACTGCCTGCCCTGCAGCTGCAGGGTGAGGTGTCCCAGGAAGCTTCAAGGCACTCATACACATGTGACCTGCATGTGCAAGGAGTTCACACCACATAGGGTGACCTCTGGCCACCAGAGATGGAAGGCAGCACAGAAATGCGACTCTCCCCTCCCTGGGGAGACAAGTGTACGGTGATTCCTAAGATGGTCCTGGGAAGATTGAGCTCTACTTGCTCACAGCGGTGACAGGCATGAGGACATTCCCTCTCCTCTTATGGTCTCAGACCCCTTCCCCCAGCCCATGTCCTGGAATGATCTACTGCACATAAACCCTTGTCTCAGGCTCTGCATTCTGGGAGGACACTTTACAGCATGAACTGTAGTCCTTGACATCTTAACCTCCAGAACCTCAGTATCTGACCCGTTTCAAAAATAGTCATTGCAGGTATAACTAACTAAGATGAAGTCATACTGGGATAGGGTGGCCCTTAACCCGGTGTGACTGGTATTCTTATACAGTGGGGACATTTGGACACAAGACATGCACACAGGGAGAGCACCCCACAAAGGTGAAAGCAGAGATGCAGGTAGTAAGTACATCTGTGGAGCCAAGAGAGACAGGCCAGGAGCAGCTGATTCACAGCCCTCAGCAGGAGCCAGACCTGCAGATGCCTTGATCTCAGACTTCCAGGCTCAGAGCTGCAAGACAAGGGATTTCCATTGTCTCAGCCCTACATTTGTGCTGCTGTCCAGGAAACTAACAACAGCATCACCCCCCAATCATTTCACCGTTATCCTCCAGCTCAGGGACCAGCAGCCAGAGATACCTCTGGGACTGCGGAGCAGGTATTGGGGATGAGGGACAGGATATGGTCACAGGAGAGTGATGAAAGTTCTTTGAGATGTTTTTAAAGGATCCCCAGGTCCTCTTTCTTCCCACTCCACACGGCTCGTCTCGATCCTGCCCTACTCAGCAGAACCCCAAAGATCTATTCTCTAAAGATGGTAAAACTGAAGATCTGCAGATTGACGGCTGTCAGGCACAGCTACCGTCACAAAACAAGAACACCCAACCACAGGATGTGCCCTAACATGCTTATGTCTGAACCTGTGCTGCAGGCAGCTGTGTGCACTTACACGGGTCACAGATCCTCTCTGTGCCCTCAGCGTCCTCATCCATACTATGTGGAGAACTAGCTCAGACCCTTATGGCTGAACAGAAGTCCTTAGCATGAGCCCCAGCACACGCACGCTCAGTAAAGGTTTACTCTGCCTCAGGAGCGGGACACCCTGGACTCCCACCGCTCTCGGTCGATGTGAAAGGCCAGGGCCCAACTATACACCAAAGTGGGAGACTCCGCCAGTGACCACTAAGAATCTCCAGTGCCCTCCTGGATAAGAAAGGCCCTTGCCCCCCCACCATCCCTGCTCAAGCTCCCAGGCCCTGCCCACCCCCTCCCGCCGCACCCAGCTCACCGAGTTGTCGTAGGTGTGCCAGGAGATATTGCTAACCATCTTCAGCTGCTGCTGCGTGGGGTAGTAGGAGGCAACACTCCAGAAAGGATTCTGTCTCAGGTGCCACTGCCACTGGACGACGTCCAGGTGCATGGGCACATCCCCTTGCTCGTCAAAAAAGATCTGGTTGCCCAGGAGGGAGAAGTTGACCTTCCAAATCTCTCTCAGCAGCTGGAGGGGTCAGGAAGAAGAGGAGTTGAGCCGGATGAGCCTAGCACCTCACCACCTCCGCCTCCACAGCTGTCAAATGGGGCAGCTCAGATGCTCTGGAATCAGACGCACCTGGGTCTAGGCCTCAGCTCTGTCCCTTGCTGTGCAGCATTGCACCTGTTGCTTAACTTCTCTGAACCTCAGTCTCCTCTACTACAAAGAGACAACAGTGTGACCCTACTTGCTGGGCTCTGCAGTCATAAATGCGCTCATCTACGTTAGGAGCTTAGAACTAATGGTGCCTAAGAAGCCTGGTGTCGTCCTTTTCCTTGGAAGTCACCTTGTTCAACACTCAGGGCCCCAGAGTCCATGTCTCTCTCACCTGCAAAGGCCAGCTGGGGTTACCCCTGCTCCCTGGGTCCTTCCTGTCTCCCACCCCTTAGGGTCATCTCTGGCCATTCTCCCCCACATCCCAGAAGCAGGTACCAACTAGAACTGCTCGGAAGTGGGTATCTTTTGTCCTCCACTGGCTGGTGCCTTTGGCCACTGAGCCTCCAGGCTAACCCTAAAAGGGCTTCAATGTGCCTCTTAGCTCTATTCCCCGCATAGGGGAGGGTCTGCTAGGCTACACTGTGAGGACCCAGCGCTCACCTCACTCGGGGACTGGCAGAGAGGGGGGCCTGAGGAGTGCACCCTCACTCCCCTTTCCCGGCTCCAGGGCAAGGACCTGGTTCCAGAAGCCACTCCCGGAGTCCAGAAGCCAGGCCCAAGGGTCCTGGTCTCAGAAGCTGAGAGCTGGAGGATGGATGAGGACCAGGGTGTGGAGCTCGCTGGGGAGGCCAGTTGTGTGTGTCCCATGTCCCCTCCTGCAGTGACCTGGCCAAGCCTGGCTGAGCCAGCTGAGATTGAGGGGCTTCCCCCATCTTGGGGCTCAGAAAGCTGAGTCTCTGTCATTCTCCTGAGTGGGTGGGGCTTGGGCATCTCAAGGCGCTCTCTTTGGGTCTGAGCCCCGATTCCCCTACTCACCTCACCCCACCCAACCTCCAGCATTGGCCGCAAGACACAGATCTGCCTTCCACCTCCTCCTCTGTCCTGAGGTCAGGCCCTTGGTGTCAGAAGCGGAGACACATTTAGCCTCCCCTCTGCACCAGAAAATCTGCAGCATTGTTGTTAGACCTCACAGTAACTCATCAGGGTCTGAATGATTCCTTCTACTTAACAGACAAGAAAACCAGACTGGCCTAATGTGTCTGCACAAAACACCATTGCTCTCTAATTCCCAGGGACACTGTTTAGGCCAGAGAAGATGCAGGGGAGAGGAATGCAGGGGCCCTGACTCCCTGCCTCGTGTCTCTGCCACCTGGATGGTCTCAGAAACATCATCTCAGGGCCCCGCTTGGAGCTCTCCATGGGCTCTCACTACCTGCCAGATACAGTCCTGACACCTTCATCCAGCCCTTAATGTTTTTTGGTGTCATCTGTAGCTCTCCTTGGACCCCACTCTCTATCATACAGCCAGGTCACCACTCTCCTGCTCTCCCGCACTGTCTAATGCCTACCCTCGCCTCTCCCATCAGGCCCCTGACCCCTGCCATCACGCGACCCTACCCCAAGTGCAGCAGCAATTCCAACTTCCTGCCGCATTTCAGAAGGGACAGACTTAACTGTCTTCATCTCTTCCTAGGTACAGATGCCCAGGATCTGGAATACAGTAGGTGCTCAATAAATGGGATTGGATATCCTGGTTGCTACGATTGGTGCTGTTTGTCTCCACTGTTGGAGAAGAAGCAAAACAACTGGTTCTGCATCACAGCTCCTGGGGAAGGTGGAATGGAAGCCCACAGCAGGAACCAGATGTAGGTTCAAAGCCACGAGGCGTGCACTTCGCTGGGGCCCCTTGTGCCCCGATTCCCTACCTGTAGATGACCTGTCATTAGGGTGGCTCTGGGTCAGACCTGATGTGCACGGGCAGGCAGCACCTGGTTGGCATTTAGACAACAGTGCAACTTCCATGACACTTCTGTGTGTCCCTAATGTGGACATAAGCCAGAACGAGACACAGAATTTCTTTTTTAAAGAATAGCTGCCTATTTCTTAAAGATACGTGCTTAGGGTTGCAAGGTTAGACGCTGGGCTTATGGCATAGATAGGTACAACTAAAACAGAAAGGGAAGGATTTTTTTTTTTCCTGTTTTGTGTGTCTGCAGTGCTGGTAGAGACCCAGGGCTTCTACCACTGAACCTCACCCCTACTCAAACAGCTTTTTTTTTTAAAGCTACCTAAATTACTCTGCATAGAAGTGAGTAGTTATCTGGGGATGGGTGGGGATTTAGAAAAGGAAAGAAGGGAAGAATAAAGAGAGGAAGTGTAGCCAGACATGGTGGTGCACTCCTGTAATCCCAGCACTGGGGAGGCTGAGGCAGGAGGATCGTTGTGAGTTCAAGACCAGCCTGGGCTGCAAAGTGAGTTCAAGGCCAGCCTGAACTGCATAGCGAGACCCTGTCTCAAAAAAAAAAAAAAAAAAAGAGAGAGCAAGAGAGTAGAGGGGCTGGATTTGGGAAAAGTGGCCAATCAACAAGGCAGGAAGGAGGCTGGGCCCCGACTGAAAAAAAACGAAAAGCTGTTAAGAAGCAGAGCTGTCCAGACGAACAGCATAGAGCGTGCCCTTCCAGCCCTTCTGCCCTCCTGACCGTCAGCACCACCTTCTCCAGCCTCGTGGACTTCGTGGGAGGATGTGTGTGAAATCAGAAAAGCACAGACTTCAGTTCCAAGTCCGAATCAAGATGTTATAGCCAGTGACAACAAGAAGACCCACCTGATGGCAGGCCTCGGGGAGCCCAGGGAAAAACAGCTGCCCTCCACGGGTCCTCCATGGGCCCACCTCCAAGGACGGGCCGTTTTGCGTGGTGACTAAGGGAAAAAGGACTTGTTTGGACACCTGGAAGGACTCCCGGCTCTTTGCACTCTGACAGAGGGGATATTCGTGTCCGTTACACCTCGTGGCCCAGAACCGTCCCCCCTCCCCCCGCCCCGGCGCAGTTTAGAGCCCAGCCAGGGCGGAGCGCCCTGCGGTCTCCATGGCAACCTCGGGGTGGCGGTGTGCGCCTGTGCCTGGGGCACTCACCTGCCAAGGATAGACGGTTTTCTTGGCGCAGTGATAAGGGCTGCAGTGCAGGAGGTTGTGCAAGGCGTGAGCCACGGCGTAGACGGCCGAGTACACGCAGTAGGCCACTCTCTCTCCAGAGAGCGTGAGCACGGTGTGGAAGGACTTGGTGATGTTCAAGCAGGCCTCGCACTCCTGGTTGCAGGTGGCCCGCGGGGTGTTGTTGGGTGGCCGCTCTGGTTGGGCCTCCGGGCGGCGCACGCGGAACTCACTGAAGCCAGGCATGGCTACCTCCTGGATGGTGACGCCAAGGAAGGTCCCGGTATTCTGCAGCCCAGTAAAGTTGTGCAGGACCAGATCAGCGGCCCAGGACTCAGGCGCGATCCACACGATGTCGGTGACGTTCTGGCGCAGCACCTCGTGGAAGAAGTTGTGCAGGGCCAGCTCGGGCGAGAACACGACCACGACACGCGCCGTGGCCTGCTTCAGCTTGCGCACGATGCTCTCCAGCTGCTTCAGCTCCGCAGCCGTCGCGACCTGGTCGGCCTGCGGCGTGGGCAGCACCTCCTGGAAGGCGATGCAGATGTCATTGCCACGGGCCACGCGATCTCGGAGCAGCTGGCTATTGTCACGGCCATAGTCGTCGTTGCTCATTAGCACTACGATCCAGTTCCAGCGGAAGTGAAGCATCAGCTGCACCATGGCCTCGATGTGATGGCTGGCGCTGGGCATGGTGCGCAGCATGGAGGGGTAGCGCAGCTTGTCGCGCAGCTGGTCGGTGATGGCGCTGTAGGAGATCTGTGGAGGCGAGGGACCCACTGTGTGCCGGGCCCGTGGTGTGGCAAGGGCTTCATCTGCCATCATCATTATGAGCCACCCCCAGGACTAGGTGTTCACACCCTCATCATCATATTCATCCCAGAAACACCTGAGCACCTACTGTGTGCTGCCCTAAGCGAGGTGCTTTACATCAGCACCACCACGATTATCACTGGAGTAACTCTTCGCAAGTGCCTACTGTGTGCCACGCCTTGGCTCAGGGCTGTGCACCATCATTATTCCCATCAGCTGGTAACACTTACTGAGCACCTACTGTGTGTCCCTGGACATAGCGCTTTCCCCTTCAGCACCATCACCCACTCCTTCCCTCAGCCTTCAGGAAATATCTAGTTTTCCTCCAACTACTGGTTGCTCTGTCTCCTTTCCTGGTTCCATCTCTTCACCTTGGGGGACCCTCATGCTGGGGGTTCCATAGTGTTGTTTTTTTTTTTTTTTTCCTTAAAAGAGGTTCTTCATAGGTTGTTAAGTTGCCCAGACTGGGCTCAAACTTGTAATCCTCCTGCCTCAGCCTCCTAGAGTGCTGGGATTACAAGCATGGGCCACTACACCCAGCTCCCAGCCCTTTATTTTTTGCTTTAATTTGAACTTTTTGGAGAGAGAGAAGGTCTTGCCAAGTCCCTGAGGAATTTGCAGCCCTCTTGCCTCAGCCTCCCAGAGTGCTGGAATTACAGGCATGCACGACTGCATGCCTTCTATCCTGGTTCTTTTCCTTCTGCTTCATCCCTGGTGATCCCACCCAGCCTCCTGGCTGTTCATATTCTTTTCAGACTGACAACTTCCTGTCATCCACTCCAGCCCAGACCTCTTTCCTGAGCTACAGGAGCATGTTTGCCCACTTCCACCTCAAGCGACCAAGCCGTCCACCCACAGCTGCCCATCTCAGGGACAGTGTGTCCATCCTCTCCGTTACTCCGGCCAACATCCCTGCAGCACCCTTGACTCTATCACTTATTTATTTATGTTTATCATCTGCCTCTCTTGACTAGGAGATAAGCTCCACAAGGGCAGTGATCTGTTTGTTTGGTTCCCAGCTATATCCCCAGCACCCTCCACACTCCTTGGCAAACAGTGCTTGAAAAATAGTTGTTGCATAAATAAAGGAACCAGCTTAGCCCTGAGTTAGCTGCTTCACATGAAAGTATTAACACTCAGCGAGTTCCTACTATGTGTCAGACCCTGGGCTCTATGCTCCCTACTGTACTGCAGCTCTTTAATGAATACTCACTCTCTACCAGAAGCAGACTCGGTGCTTTCAATCATGATGATGAGGGGCCGGGGATATAGCTCAGCGGCACAAGCACCTCCCTGGCAAGTTCAAGGTCCTGAGTTTGATTCCCGGTACCAAAAAAACCCCCACAAAACATTAGAGCCTCTCTTATCTAAGATGGCAAGATGGGAGAGGGAAACACAAGATTTCTTTAAAATCCCTAAGATTCCCTACTAGATATTTATGGGGTTGGGGATATAGCTCAGCAGCACAAGTGTCTGCCTGGCAAGCGCAAGGTCCTGAGTTCAATCCCTGGTACTAGAAAATAAAATAAAATAAATCATGATGATGATAACAATCACAATTAGTCATACTAACAGCATTTTTTGAGCACCTACTACGAGGCACATAGTGCCCTGGGCCACTGTACAGGATAATATTGAGCACCTTCTGAGTTTTTGTCCCTATGCTAGATACTTTACATAACGACAATAGTGTTATTGGCCACCTGCTGTGTGCTGGATGGACACTCTTACAGGTGGGACACTTTACCCTGCAGATAGTCCTGGGTTGGAAATCTTATCATCCCACTTTACAGGAAGGGAAACTGACGCTCAGAAGATTAAGAGGTTTGCCAAAGATTTCGCAGTGGTAAAATTCACCCCCAGGTCTGTTGGCCTCCAAAGTCTGAGCTGCCTCCCCAGGACGGGGTCTGACCTTGCTCACATTCTCACTTCTGCCCCTGCGGTGATGGGGAAGGGCTTCCCAGCGCCCCCAGCAGAGCCACCCTTCCAATTCCACCCTAGCCCCTCTGCCGGGACCAGAGCCTCACCTGTGGAAGGAAAAAGTGGGAGAAGAAGTTGGCCACAGTTATGGTGGATTCCGAGTTGTCAGGGCCAATGACGGCCACCACGCGTGGTATGTAGTAGCTGTAGTCCTTTATGATGGGCAGGAAGTAGTTCGTCCGCGCCAGGAAGTAGAGCACAGGCTGGATGTTGTTGGTTTGGTAGCAGATGTCCACTATCTCATAGCCCAGCTGCACACCAGGCAGCAGGCCGCTTTGGTTGTTGATCTCTTCCACCGCGAAGCGCATGGCCTGCATGAGGTTGTAACCCATCACCTTCATGTCGTACCTGGAGGGGTGCAAAGCAATGAGGTGGGAGCTGAAAGGTACGGAATGAGGAAGGGAGGGGAGGCAGAGCCAGGGAGGGCTCTACTGATGTCCACCGTGACCACCATCACCCACGGTGACCCCCTTATCCACTGTCACCATCATCACCCATTCTACCAGTCACCAGTGTTTCTCCCGCTGCTGTTACTGTCACCACATCTTTGTGACCACCACGGTCACCAGCATGATCATTAATACCACGACCATCACCACTACCACCTTCACTATCATCGCTGCTGTCACTACCATCACCACCACCTCCACCTTCACCATCACCACCATCACCATCACTGTCACCGCCACCTTTACCACCACGACCCCCGCCACTGCTACCGCGTCACTTACCTTCACCACCACCACCTTTTACCACCAGGTCACTACCATCACCACCATTGCTACGTGCTCCGATTTTGTATCATCTGAGTTTCTCCCATCAACATTATCCACATCACTAGCACTAGTCTCGTTGCCATTGCTAGATTGCCCCTCGCTGTCCAAGGCACCAGAAAATCCAGCACAGTGCGAATCCATCACTGGCCCCACTGCCCTCACTCCTGTCCAGCCAGCACACGCTGTCTCCCAACGTCATGGAAATGGTGTGCTTCTATAGCCAGCCCGCGGTCATCTTTTGCTCTCTCCTTTTTCTTGTCCCTAGCATGTTCCACCTTCTCTGAGTAAGGTCACTGTTCACAACCCCCTGGCTGGCTGTAGTGTCCCATTGCTTGCAGGAAGATTGTTTACCCAATCTCTTTATGGTGCCGTCATCCCTAGGGACCCAGCGGGAGGGGGTCACCTGCAGTGCTGGAAGCACCACCCACCCACCCAAATCACAGCCCTTGGAAAATGCGAACCTCCCCCTCCACCTGAGAGGCTGCTACAGAAAAACCACGTCCTGCCTCCCAAAGGCACAGCAATTGGGAGTCCCCCACTGCCAAAGTGAGTGGGGGTTCTGATGGTCTCTAAGATCCCTCTGAGCTCAGATGTCCTGGAACTCCACAGGGAAACATGACATCAGGACAGCCCAGGTCCCACTGACACACGGCACGATCGCAAAGATTGCAGTGACGTGGATGGCATGGGGGCTCCCTGGGGACCAGGAGACGGGGAGCAGTGGAGGAGGAGTATTTTGAGCCCTCAGTCCTGGTCTGACCCCCTGAGGCCCACAGGACCAGACCCAGATCCCCATGCCACCCCCACAGCCACGGCCAGGCTCATGTGAGACTCACTCCTCGCACTTGGGCACCTGCAGGATGGTGAGGTGGGAAGTGCCCTTCACGTTGGCATGGAGGGTGAAGAGGCCACCCAGGAGGTAGTCCCCAGGCAGAAAGAACTCTAAGTTTTCGGCGGGCTCAGCTGGCCCAGCCAGGACCTGCAGCAGGAAGAACAGGACCCAGAATGTCCTTGTCCGGAGCTCCATCGCTGCAAAGAGAGAATGTCAGCGGGTGGCCTACCTCACTGGATAGCTGGTGACTTGACACCAGCACGTTTGCACAGACATTTACATAGTGATGATCCAGCCACTGACGTGAGGCACCTGGGACAGGTGGAGCCCTCTAAGCGCTCAGGGGAAGGAGCCGGAAGGAACCAGGACTCTCCTTCCTGGGAAAGCATGGGGCCTGGGAGCAGAACGCCACTGGGAGGGCGGAGGCGCCCTGCCGGCGGGCTGCACCTTAGCCTTCTGCCCCTTGGTCAGGAACGTGTTAACATTTCAGAATGAGGACTTACGTGTTCCCGGGGACAGAGTGGTGTTGTGAAAGACCCGAGCTCTGGAGTCAACTAAGGGGTACACACTGTAATATTCATATGGCACCTGGCACCTGGGGTGTCCAAAGGGCAGTGGCCACTGTCCGTAAGAACCAGGCACCAGCTGAAGGCTGGTCATCCACCGGCTCCTTTAATCCTCCCAGTATCTGGGGAGGATCGCAAACCTCATTTCACAGATGGGGAGACTGAGACCCTGAGAGGCTAAGAAACTCACCCACATGCACAGCTAGCAGAGTTGGGTGCACAGTTTAATCTCCGGGTCACAGGACGTCACAAGGCCATTGCTTTTCATATAGGGCAGCAGCAGCAGTGAGGGTGGGGGGTGGCTATGGGGACAGGGCCCTCACTCTGCCTGGTGGCATCCCAACTGCTGTCATCTCTGTGATGGGAGCCCCTGCGTGTGCCTGCCTTGACTCTGTGCCAGGGGGCAGGGGCATCTGCAAAATGGAAAAGGGAAGATTCTTAAAGGTGCCTGCCCCGTGGGCAGCAGGGAGGGTGACGCCCCCGTGGATGAGGGTCCTACTGGAAGCAAAAACCTGCGTTTCCCTCATGCTGTGCTGTCCCTTCCAGCCAGATGTGTGGTGAAGCAGGGGCCTCCGGGGACCTGCTGGACACAGTTTGGCTCAGGTAGTTGAAGCTGGTCTGTCACCGGCTCCAGGGTGCAGGTATTGATGGGAGGAGGCGTGGGTTCTGGGTCTGCTGTTCTCTCTGGGCCTCAGTTTCCTCTTCTGGACTATGGGGAGCCCGCCCTGTGCTGCCTTATCTGCCTCCACACCAGCCACCGACAGCCCCACCTCGAACTCACCTCTGCCTCCAGCCTCTCTTCTGTCCGGGCTCCCTTTCCACGCCCCACCCCAAGCCCAGACGCTCATCACCTCCTTCCTGTTCTGCTCCGTCCACTCCACACACACACAGATTGTTTTCAACGGGGCGAGTCCCTCGCTCCTCTGCTCTCCCCGCCCTGGGCCTCCCTCCCGCCACACCAAGCCGAAGTCCAGAGCTCTGGTCCTGGCTTTCAAAGCCTCAGCAGCCTGGCCCTGCTTGGCCACCTGCCCTTCCCGGAGGCCCCATCCAGCTGTGTCCACGCTGGCCTCCTTGGTCCCTGCGGGATCTTCTGAGGTGGCACTCTAAGGGCATCCAGGACCAGAGTCCCCTGCCCTGACCAACACCCCAGGACCGAGGAGCTGCAACAACAGAACAGCAATGTCCCCAACGGGTGTTAGAGGCCAGGAGCAGGGCCAGACGTTTCGTGTGCATTATGTCTCTGCTTTATCACACCCATGTACTGCAAGGTTGCTGTGGTCACTCCCAGTTTAAAGAGAAGGAAACTGAGGCTCAGAGAGGTTAAAGGACTTGTGAGTGACACACAGCTAATGGTGGTGAAGGCGGAAAGTAAGCACAGGCTGCCCCAGTCCTGAACTATACGTTGTATGAAGGTGTTCACCAGCAGGAGCTGTCACCACAGGTCCCACCGTGTGGCTGGGGGCACTGCTGCCCTCCCTACATGGGCTCCACCTAAGGCCAAGGTGCTCAGGAAGGACAGTGTCCAGTGCAGCCACAGGGACCACCTGACATCACCCAACTTCAGAGCAAGGCGGGAACTGGAGAGCCGGGCTAGCTGGGAAAGTCATCCGTGCAGTGGGCATGGCCAAGTCCGCTGTGGCCCAGCTGGACACGGCACAAGAGCCAGGGACACGCAGAGGACACGGATTGCAGTGCAGGGATAGAAGTCAGGCCCCTGGTGAGGCACCGCAAGGTGCCAGGTGTGGCATGTTGTGTCCCGACTGAGAAGGCTGCAGGGATCCATACACTGCCCATCAGACAGATGGGGAGACTGAGGCCTGGAGAGGGGCAATCACCCAAAGTCCAAAAAAGCAGGTTGGTTTCCCCTCTGCTCTTGGAAAGTCTACTAGGAGTACGTTGGAGCAGCTTTGTGACCCCCCTGTGATAGAGTAAGGAGGTAAACAGGCAGCCAGACCCCTGGCTTCTCGTCCAGTTCTGCCCATGGGCAGGCAGCCTGTGAGGGAGTCACTTCTGTTTCCACAGCCTCAGTCTCTCTCTCTCTGTAAAACGAATTCAGTGCTTAGCATTTCAAGTGAGGCCCCTGCTGCGATCCTGTGGAAGCCCCGCGTACCACACCCCTGACACAGGGGCTGTTACCAGACCTCGCCTGCCGCAAGCCTTGGAGCATGTCCACAGTCTGTGCTGAGACATTGTTCAGGGTCTTTGTGCCGGCCACACAAAAGATAAACAGCCAGACCTTGCGTCACTGTGACTGTCCTTCAGCGCTGTACACATGGACACGCCCCAAGTCAGGCTAACACAGCTGTCACCTGTGGCCTGATCTAGGGCCTGAGGTCCCTGTGATTACACGCGTGTGGCCACTGTTCCAAGGTGACAGTCAGCCGTGACAGACTTATGCAAAGCACTTGGGGGAGATGAAGGGGCCCTGACAGGCTGCACATTTGCCTTGGCGTCTGCTTCTAGAGCTCAGGGAAAGGAAAGGGGGCTGCCCTGGGCTTCCTTCCTTCCTCCTGTGCCCTGTGGGTGGGTGGGGCTACAGCCCCTCCCCTGCTGTCCCTCCCTGCTGACTTCTCCATCCCCAGGCAGCCCTGGGCTGCTGCAGACCCAGAATCATCTGATGCGGGGGCAGGGAAACAGGTGGCCATCAAGCTGGCCAGAGGGAGCTCAGAGCATGGGCACTGGGGAGGCCCTGGGGTGGAATCTCAGGGGGCCCCAGCAGACCCACCTCCCAGAGCTATAGTTTCTCATCTGTGAAATAGGGCCAAAATTATACCCCCTCCCTTGTAGGCTGGTGTGACCCTTGATCATTAAAGGGAACAGAGGGTGTCTTGGTTTTGGGGCTTATTTTGCAAGGGGAACAATATAATACAGGACACATATTTTATAAGATTATTTAAAATAGTCACCCAAAGAATCATATACAAGAGTGTAAGAAATCTGTCCCCACACTATGGACCAGGAATCCAGCTGAGGGCCTGGATCCCGCGATAATGTCCTACATGAGTCCAGCTCACCTAGAGCCCATAACATGCCTCCCACGAATCCAACTGGAGGCCCACAGCCCACGACAATGTCTCAGGCAGGCCTGTTTCACAGATCTGCCCTGGCAAGGCCTATAGGTCAGTGATGGAATCTAGAAAGTCTGTGCCAACAGGATGAAGGAGCTGTGCTAGCAGGCTGAGGGATCTGCACTGGAGCCGGGAAGTGATGTTCAAAGAACCAGAGCTCCCCCGAAAGGTACCACAGCCGTCCTCAGCAACCGTGAGGTCCTGAGCTCTGAGCTCCTCTGATGATCAGGATGGCCGAGTTCCCATCAGGAAAGCCAACGCAGCAAGCTTCTCTAGGAGTTTGGCAGTGCACCATCTTCTCCTCTGGAACCAGGAAGCGCTGTGTAAAGTGAGGACCAGAGCCTCCCCAAAGTGAACTGAGGCTATTCTCAGCAACAACAAGGTCCTGAGCTCCTCAAAGGATGAAAACAGCCAAGTTCATCAGGAAAGCCAGCAAGACAAGCTCCTCCAGCAGAACCCACAGCTCCTTACAGCTTCTACCAGCTCCCAACAGCCTCACTTCTTCTCCAGTTCTGCCTCTTATGCTGCTGGCGACAGTCCTCAGGTGGGCCTCCCAACCCAGCACCACGCATACTCCATTCACCTGAGGGTTAAAAGTTGACCACCAGTTGTCAATCCACTACACAGGGCTTATCAAGAAGTGCTCAGAGCCAGGCATGGTGGCACACGCCTGTAATCCTGGTACTCTGAGAGGAAGGAGGATCACAAGTGTGAGCTCAGCCTGGGCAACCCAGTGACTTAGTGAGACCCTGTCTCAAAGTAAAAGTGAAGAAAGAGGTTGGGGATGTAGCTCAGGGTGGAGACCTTGGGCACCCCCCACACACACTAAAGATTCTCAGTTGGATCAGGGTTCTCTCCCTTCCTGGGCACACATGCACCCAGGATGGAGTTCTTGTGTTTAGAACACCTCACTCAGGCAGGCCACAGAGTCTGGCCCTTTATTTTAAAATATTTCCTTTGAACTCAGCTCCCCAAGAAATGTCAGCCCTGAAGCTGGGAGGTCAAAGAACAACAGAGGGGTCATGGCTGGGATTCTAGTCCCAGGCTGTCCAGGTCTGCAGCTATTCAGCAGTGGTGCCAATGGCCTGGCTGTTGGAGATGGGGCTGATCATCTCCCTACTAATGTTAAAGTTAACCTGTCTGCACCTCAGTTTTCCCATCTGTTAAATGGGAACAGCAGGCCACTTTACAGGGCTTCCATGAGGGTGAGGGAGCTAAAGCACTCAGCTCAGGTCCAGGCAAGCCTGGTCCCTAAGCAGAACACACAGGGTTACAATGGGCGGGTGAGGAAATGTGTTCTGTGAAAATGAAGGTGGGATTCCAGGAGGGCCGGCCTCACCCTGCCACTTCCTCTGTCTGCCAACCCCTGGGGCTCTGAGTGGGCCTGCTGGCTAGCAGCTGGAACAGGTGGCCCCTCATTTCCTTAGTGCATGCTCGGCTGGCAACCCATAGGATGGCGGTGACAGGGACATCCGGCCTCAGTCAAATGGTTCGTGCTCCGAGCCCAGGACTGCGGCCAGGCCCTTGGCCACAGCAGGTAAATGAAGGGGCTCCATGGGTGACCGCAGACGTGGGGACTTAGTGTGCTGGCCATGCAAAGAGGCCTCCGGCACCTGAGCAGGGCCAGGCATTGTGCTGGAGGGCCAGCTAGGCATGGGCAGAGGGCTCTTGCCTTAGTTCAAAAGGAGGCAGGTCAGGGTAAAATGACAGTGGCGGAGGAGCTTGGAAGACAGGGACCTGATGGAGCAGGTGGCCAAGATGCACGTGCTACAGGCGCCCAGATCTGAGTTCACACCTACTTTTTTGTTGTTGTTGTTGTCTTTTTGAGACAGGGTCTCGCTATGCAGCTCAGGCTGGCCTTGAGCTCACTTTTTAGCCCAGGCTAGTCCAACAATCCTCCTGCCTCAGCCTCCTGAGTGCTGGGATTACAGGCGTGCGCCACCACACCCAGCAACACCCACCTTCTTAAAAGCAACCTCGTGCAAGTCCTTCCCCTCTGACCTCCACTACCCCTCCTGGAAGCCAGAGTGATGCTGCCCAGGCCACATGAAACTAGCTAGGCAAGCACATAGCCAGGAATCAGCCACCTTGGCCTGTTTTCAGTGTGACCCTGAGCAAGATTTATTATTTGCTCAAAAACAAGGAACAGAGCCCACACCGCCCTCAGGTGTAAAATGCCACCTTTTCCTTCTGTGAGCACCAGTCAGGGCACACTAGACACCCCTCTGCTCCTACGCACGACCACCTGCACACTCCGTCTCCAGCCAGGCTGCTTCTGGGACCAAGAAGCGGCAGCTATGAGGGAGCCCAAAACGGGTTATGCCGGAGAGAAGAGTGTCCCCACCCCGCCTGCCCCGGCCACCCACTCAGTGGGCTGGAGGCCCAGGAAGAGCGGCCATGCACTTCCACGGGCAGCACGCTGGCCGAACCCCACCCCGTGCCATTATATTAAGACCACCTGCTACTGCAAGAGGCCCACCCACACCATGAAGGGGGATCAGCTTTACCTTTTCGTTTATTTATTTTTGGGTTTTTTTTCCGGTCCCGGGAATCGAACTCACAACCTTGTACTTGCCAGGCAGGCGCTGTGCCGCTGAGCTAAATCCCCAGCCCCACCTTTTCCTTTTTAAAACCCACTGATTTTAATGTCATCTGCACAGAAACATCCAGAATGTCTGGCCAAGTATCCAAGTCCCATAGCCCAGCCTAACACACGCATAACACCACCATGGCCCTCCGTGGCAGCTGTTTTCATGATGGGTCAATGGGTAACACTCTCGATCATTATCCATCCGGCACCGTACTGAATACCTGTCTGATTTTTGTCTCAATTCTCATGCACAGCCCGTGCATGTGCATGAGAGGGAATTATCCCCATTTTATGGATGAAGAGACAGAAGTTCAGGGAGATTACAGAACTGTTTGGAAACGACTTGGCTGGGAAGCGGTGGGCCCAGATTTGAACCCAAGAGGTCCAGGCTCCTGCCACCTGCATCAGGTAATCCAGATGCCAGGGCCCATCCTTCTCCCTGTCACACTGAGGGTACCGTGTCTGCCATCAGACTCAGAAGGAAAAGTCGGCCACCCCCACAACACCCCCCAGAAAGACCACTGCTTTGGCAGGTGACAGGCATTTTATTGGTGGCACTGGGTGCACGCCACTGCCACCTCACAGTGTAGACAGAATCAGTAGAAAAACCTCCAGCCTGTGCCCCCTCCCCCAGCCCACCATGGGAAATGGCAAGAACCCAGAAGGAAGTAGAGCCCACTCCTGGCCAAGGTGGTACCAGACCCACCCCAGACTGTGGGCCAGGGTGAAGTGGGCACTTGGGCGTCCCCACATCAGCTCTGCGGACAGCAGAACTCCCTCCACCCCCTAAGCACCATCCTGGAAAGTCATGCCTCACAGACCCTGCCCACTAGAACCCAAGCACTGAGGGGGTTTCCCTCGCTGCTCGGTCTCTGGGGTATCCGGCAAAGAACAGGCCACTGAGGGGCCGTCACACGGAGCCACTGACATGCTAAGAGGAGTCCACAGGCTTGTCCTCGGCCCAGGCCAAGTCTCTGGGGAGGGACAAGGGGCCAGCAGTGTCAGCCTGGGCTGAGCTGAGCCGGCAGGGGAATCTCGGCCTTACATGGGCTCTGGGGACAGACATCTCTAGAGGCAGGGCCAGAAGGGCAAGGGGATAGCCCGACAGAGCAGAGGTGACCCAAAGTTTCCAAAACTGCAACCAGCCCGGGAGGACCACCACCTCCCATACCTTGGAAGGTGGCCAGGAGGGCCTTGGGGGAACACAGGTACCAGGAGGAAGGCACACGGTATCTAAGGCACATGGCTGGGTACAGGTGGGCTACCCAGAGACACAGTGGAGGAGGGGCAGCCCAGACCAGGGGGCAAGGCAGCTGAGCGACCTGTGCCCTGCAGGCCACCCCGTCACAGCCAGGAGCCTCTGGAGTGGTGAGGCTGCCGCAGGGTCCCCAGAGATGCTCCCTCTCCATTCCCCGGGTCCAGCAGGTGGAGAGGGAACGGGACAGACGGAGAACCAGTCGGGACTGGGGCTGGACCCGCTGGACGGCAGGGCAGTTCCAGGGTAGCTGATGGGAAAGGGGTCAGTCACTCTTTTTTCCCCAACGTGACCTCAAAGCAGAGCCTGGAACCTGACACTGGGGACAGGAGGGGCTGGGACTGGACAGATGACTGTAGAAGGGGCGCTGCCCATGACAGCCTGTGGAGCGGGAAGTGGGGTCAGTGCGGCAAGGTCCGTCGTCTGGGTGGACGAACAGGCGGACGAGGGGGGCGCCGAGCAGGGCTCACTGCATGTACGAGTAGCGCCAGTCTCCCAGGGGCTTGTGGGTCTCCTTGATGACCTGGGGCGACGTCCAGCGCAGGATGTAGTGGGGTCCCCCTGGCTTGTCGTTGGTTCCTGTGGAAAAGAGTTTTGTTTTTCTCAGAAAAGACAAAGGAGTTCTGGGCGGATGAGGTGAGGAGGAGGAGCAGGTAGAACAAACAGGGTACCAGCACTGGCAGGAAGGTCCCAGAGGGACAGAGGGGGCCCGCCCTCCTGTCGGTGGGCTGGGAGGGGCATATTAGACATATTCACAGCTGCGGGGTTTGCTGGGAACACCTGGACCCCGGGCACGGAGGCGAAGGTTGGGTGAGGCATCCTGCCTGATGATGGGCAGGTATGATGCCAGTACTTGGGGGTCCATGAGCTCCACCAGCAAGGAGAGGAGGCAGGGAGCACTGCAGACAGAGCCCTGGCGGGGGAGTCAGAGACCTGTTATGATCCTGCGACACAGTAAGAAATCTGTGCCTCATCTTCGTACCTACTTTCCTTCCCAGCCAGTGTTCCTCTTACCCTTGGAATTTCCCGAGCGGCAAAACGTAGGGGAGCATCTTTCATTACTCACAAGCTCCTTCCAGTTATATCTCCATTTATGCTAATGAGTAACTCTTAGGGGCTGGGCGCTGAGGGGAACCATCTGGGTGATTAAGGGTTGATACTTGCAGCCTTGTCTACCAGGTGGAGGGGCTGAAACCTGACTTCATCACCAGTGGCCAATGATTTGAACACGGTACCTATATAATAAAGCCTCCCTGAAGGAGGACTGTTGCGAGTTCGAGACCAGCCTGGGCTACAAAGTGAGTTTAAGGCCAGCCTGAACTGCATGAGACCCTGTCCCCAAAAG